TCCTCACAAAACTAGTTGTGCAGTCGCGTTCACAATAAGATTTGCGAGTATCGCTTCGAAGCGGAGAGGAGGGGGGCAGAATCAAGAGGAGCAGGAGGAGCAGGAGGGCAGAGGAGCAGGAGGAGCAGGATGATGAAGAAGAGGAGGGTGAGGAGCATGACGAAAGCGAGGCGGAACTCGTTACTCACAAAACTAGTTGCGGAGAGTTGTTCGCAACTAGTTTTGCGAGTATTGTTTCGTAGCGGGAGGTTCCACACAAAACTAGGTGTGCAGCTGCGTTCACAACTAGATTTGTGAGTATCGCCTCGAAGCGGAGAGGAGGGGGGCAGAATGAAGAGGAGCAGGAGGAGCAGGAGGGCGGAGGAGCAGGAGGAGTATTTAGGAGGAGGAAGGAAAAGGACGGCAAGGAGCATGACGAAATCGAGGAGGAACTCATTACCTACAAAGCTAGTTGTGGATCGTCGTTCGCAAGTAGTTTTGCGAGTAATGTTTCGTAACAGCAGGTTCCTCGCAAAACTAGTTGTGCAGCTACGTTCACAACTAGATTTGCGAGTATCGCCTCGAAGCGGAGAGGAGGAGGCAGAATGAAGAGGAGCAGGAGGAGCAGGAGGGCAGAGGAGCAGGAGGAGTAGGAGGAAGAAGAGGAGGGCGAGGATCATGACGGAATCGAGGAGGAACTCATTACTCGCAAAACTAGGTGTGGAGTGTCGTTCCTCCTCCTCCTCCTCCTCCTCCATCTCCTCCTCCTCCTCCTCCTCCTCCTCCTCCTCCTCCTCCTCCTCCTCCCCCTCCAAGGCCACGGACGGCTCAGGCCCGCGGATCCCTGCGGCCTTTGCCTCGCATGGCCTCCCCCCTCTGCGCGCCGCCAGGCCGCGAGGGGGACCTTCCCCGCCGCGCTGCCGGCGGCGGCGCCGCGCTCCGCCAGGGCGGCGGGGGCGCGGCTGCCGGCGGGACAGGAGGAGGAGGAGGGAGCAGCAGCAGCAGCAGCAGCAGCAGCCCAGAGGGAAGGTTTACGGGGTCTTCAGCATGGATGGCAAGGGCATCTTTTCTGGGGTGGAACCCATATACTATTATGCGCACGGGACGACTAGAGCACATTGGCATGGAGTGCGCACGGTGCACTGCCGTCTTACTGGCGGGCACCAAGATGCCCATGAGAGTACACCAAGTCCATCATTACGAACGCACCCCTGAATATCACTGGATTCACTGGGGATGGGGGAGGGGCTCTTCCACCAATGCATCGGCGGGCGTCAGTATTGGAATATCGGCCAGACAATACCAGGCTCGTCATATTATCCGCGTTGCGGCACCCCCCCCCTCACCTGCAGGGACGAGCGGGTAGCGTGGACATCCAGCGTGGCCCTCAGCGTTTCCGACTCGTGGTTGGGTACTATCCGCCACGGGTTAGTACGGCCAGAAGACTACCACACTGGAGGACGACTGTGAAGCAACTCACGCAGTGGATCAAAGAGCAGGTCGACAGCACCCCCGCGAGAGTTATTCCAATAATATATGCTGACCTTAATTTACGTATGGGCCTGAAGGGTAAAGACCTGATTGATGACGGAGTTGTGGGTCCATACCAGGCGGGTCAGGAAGACGAGATGTCCACGTTTGTTCGCAAGCAGTACAGTGCCAGCCAATTAGCCTTCCTCAATACACATCATGACCTCGGACCCAGCTACTTTGGCCACAAAGGATCTAGGAGTCGTATTGACTATTTTCTTGGACCTAAGGAGCTTCTGCATACTGATATCCGCATGACTATGTATTGGCATACACAGAGACGTTTGCAAGCACTTACTCACATGATCGACCATGTCCCTATGTACTTGCAGTTCCGTGTTCCCTCTCCGTCACCACGCACGCAGCAGCAGGGAAGTACGTGGGATTGGGGAGCATTAGCAGCGTCTTTGCAGAAGGGTCACAGGAGGGAGGAGTTCATGAGCAAGATCTGTGAGTCATGGAACCAGCATCGCCCCCTATGCCGCGCACTGACTATGGACGGGGAGCCTACAAGGCATGCGGGGGTCGTGGCACAGATCATTCGGCAGGCTGCTGTTGCGACGTTCTCGGCTGAGAAGTCCACCCCCGAGTGGATCACCGAGGCAAAGGAGGAGAGGAGGAGGCTATTACGACAGCGAGCTGCGATGCGCGACCACGGCATCCTCGTCTCGAGCGAGTCGCTTCGTCGTATCGACCATCAACTTCGAGCACATCGTCGGTGGCAGGAGAGGTGGAGGAAGGAGTCGCTCGAGCAGGAGATTCGGGAGGCATGGGAGGTACGAGATCAGGCACGAGTCGGGTACCTCGCGAGACTGTTAGCAGGTGCGAACATGGGGCCACGTAAGAGATGCTACCTCGCCCTCCCCACGAGTCGTCCGAGTGCTGAGGACTTCAAGCGTGCTATGGGAATGCCAGCTGTTGACGGGGGCCTATCGGCACAGGGAGCTCACATGAGCAAGTACCTGTTTCCTGAGGCCATCCAGGAACTGCTTGTGACCCCCCTCGAGCACCTCCCAGCGTACGGACCACGTCTCTCCCTTCCTACATTCGATGACTTCGAGAAAGCTGGGGAGGACCTGGATTGCATAAAGAAACGAATAAGGCGCAGTACGCATCGACGTTGCTCTCCTCCTTGGTCTTGGCCGGTTGAGATCACTAAGCTGTTGCTATTCCCTGACCTACTGTTTCGCCCTGGGCACTCTAGAGAAGGCCTAGGATCCACGTGGCGCCGACACGATCCCGACTTATTGAATTTCGACGCTGTTACCGAGGCTACCAAGAACCAGAGAAAGATCATCATTGACTCGGAGCACGCACAGGTGGGGCACGACATGTTTATCCAGCTGTTAGCACACATACGCGCGCGTGAGCTTCTCCCTCAGCAGGCACGAGTTAGTCACGCAGTCGCTATCAGTAAACCTGGCAAGTCACCCACAGGAAACAGCGTCACTGACATTACCACATGCCTAAGGTTATTGCATTGCTTTTGTCATTGGTGGCGAGTGTTACTCAGAGTCGGGCTCGTGGACTACGGCAGTAAGTTTGACCCCCCCTCATGGGCATACGGTGGTATTGTACATCGGCGTAGGGAGGGGCTCATGGCCAGCGTGAAGATTACCATGTGGAAACTTAGGAGGTGTCGTTATTATTATATGGTCAAGTCATATGACATGCGCAACGCTTTCGGCACAGGCATGCACGAGCGACTGTACGAGGCACACAGGTCACGGGGGGTGGATGAGTACTACGACGAGTTGTTAACGCACCACAGAAACACGGGTATTCTATATTATCAAGCACGGGACGGTGACGTTACTCTCCACCCCACCTCGGGGGGAAGAATGGGTGATTCCAACGAGCCAGAACTATTTATGGATGCCTTCTACCCCCTGATCGGCGACTGGCAGCACGAACTAAACGACATTATCGGGGGCAGTCTTATGTGCACATGTCCTTTCCTTGATCAAGATGAGGACGGATCATTTGGTGGATTTATCGACGACCTTATCAGGATTATTATTGTACCTTCGGGCATGGCGTCAGAAGCGTTGCAACTAGACTACCTGGACAACAGCATTCTAGATCACCACTTACTTCAAGGCGGGTATGCTCAGCACGTCGCCAAACAAGAAACCTTAGTTCACTTGGCACACGTTAAAGACACTAAGCAAGCTGAGGACCAGATCTCGGGACGCCCCAAGACGAACTTGATTCACTTAGGCGGGTTTATTCACGTGCAAGGGAGTAACAGGAAGGAGATCGATACACGTATTCGAGCAGGTGCCATCGGCTGGTGCAATTTACGACAGTATTGGTTCTCCTCGGGACCCTGGCGGAGCATGCGCAGCACATTCTTAGCTAACGTAGCAGGTCGGGTTTGGTCGGGGCTCGAGGCGTACGTCTTGACGCCTAACGAGTTAAAGGAACTCGATACATCGCTGGCGAAGAAGCTACGGGCAATGTTACACGGACGTGCGCATGTTGAACACGAGGACGGCACACACACATCTTGGACCACCATACAGATATTTCGAGAATGGCAGATACCACCCACTGGTGTAGAATTAATGGTACGACGACTAAGATGGCGGCAGTCTATCGCAGGGAACCCCACGCACCACAGTCACTACTTGAGCATATTCTTCGGAGAGTATTTATTTGAGCAGCGAGCGAGAGCAGCAGGGAATGAGGTAGCAGATGTCACGATATTGCCCAACGGGGAGCTTAACTCCTCCGCCAAGGTTCACCCCTGGGCCCTCCAGTTCTTCCAGGACCTGCAGGTTGTTCTCACTCACCCGATCGGAGAAGAGCTCGCCGATGTCTGGCAACCCCGTACTATGGAAGTTTTTTTTCGGGAATCCCGAGGTCGTCGAGGTTTTCAGAGCCTGTGATTTTCGAGCTTTGCGATCAACGATCCAGGCCCGCGAATGGGCTCCACCCGAGTTTCTCCTGGAAATGATGCCGAAGGAGGAGGAGGAGGTGGGGGACACTGAGAGCGACGAGGCCGAACTTGCTCCTCTTCGGTGCGGTATCGAAGGATGTCGGGCGAGATTTGCGACGAACAGGGAATTGGTCAAACATCAGATTCACGCGACCAGCCTCCCTGGCCACGGCACCCCACCGATACTGTCCGTGATCACAATTGACAACAAGTGTCTTAACTGCCAAACAGTGTTCAGCAGCATCGACAACACAAGAAGGCATCTAAGCGGTGCATGGAGAGCAGGCCGTTGTATCCCACACCTCGTCCGCCACCGTCATGACTGGATCCCTTCTTCTGCCGCGCGATGCCCATTATCTGATGAAACGGATCGCCCAGAGTGTCAGCAGCGGCACGACGGTCCTGAACAATTGAGGGCGCACTTGGCGACCCACATCCCACCGACGTCGGAAGGGTTTCGGCTCAAACTTGCCCAGCCACAGCCAGCACACAGTGCCCGCCCCAGTGCGAGCACAGCGGAGGCACGACCTCAGCCACCGTGCGCCCCGAGGCGAGATTCGCCCACCGTTCGAGCACAACTACGAGCAGGATACCTACGGCTTGCTGAACGACGACGGGAGCGCCGACTGGTGCAGGCTGGACACGCTGTACGGCGACGAGCGAGCACACCACCCCCTGGCCTGGCCGCTGAGTGGCCTGCCGACCTCCCAACAAGAACATCGCGGGTGACAGCCGCGAGTACACCATTGCTGCTTCCTAGACGGCAACCAGCTGAACCAGTTCCTGATGGCGGCAGCCGCGGGGGCAGCAGGAGCGGCAGCCGCAGCGGCAGCGCCCGCGGCGCTGGGCAGGCCGAGAGCGACGTGGAGGACACCGGTGGCCTCCTCCCAGGCGTCTGGCGCATCTGGAAGAGGATCGAGCAGCGCAGGTGCGGGGGACAAGAACGAGAAGAACGAGAAGATCGAGAAGGACAGCAAGAAGCACCGCAAGGGCGACAAGGACGGGGACCAGGACATGGACGAAGGGAGCGGAGCCGCTCCCTCCGCGGGCGCGGGCAAGGGAGGAGGCCGCGGCGGCGGCAAGCCACGCCACCGCGGAGGGAGACGGCACCGCCGCGGGGAGCACACCGAGAAGAAGTGGACGAGCAAGGACGCGAACATCCAGCAGTGCTTGGCCTCGGTCTGCAAGCTGGTCTTGCAGACGACCCAGCGCCAGAGGCTCACGATGGCCACCGTCGTGGACACGTTCACCATGCCGAAGACGCACGACGTGATCAAGCAGCTGCAGGCGACCCTCGAGGAGTACCGCAAGATGGTGCAGGAGGCGCGCGAGAAGAGCGCAGACGAGCTGAAGAAGGTTGGCAGCCCGACCGCCTCATTGGCGATCACCCTTCTCGAGACGCTGCAGGGCTGCGACGTGGGCGGCCAGATCAAGAAGCAGCTGGGAGACTACCTGGAGGCCGTGGAGCCCGCGCAGGGCACGCAGGCCACCGTCGCCAAGGAGATGATCGAGCTCGACGTCCTCGCGGTGAGGATCGAGCAGCCGCACGACCAGAGCAAGGCGAAGCTCCTCCTCGCGGCCCCCCACTGGCCCATGCGGGGCGTGGTCACGAGGGCTTTCCTCGCCGAGGGGGAGGCCGCGAGGATGACGGGCGTGATGCCCCCTGGCTGGCTCGAGGACGAGGTCGCGAGCTGGCTGGACGTGCTGCAGGGCTGAGCCGACCCATCCGCTTCGTCAGAGGCGGCACGATTGAGGCAACAATTCACGCCTCAGCCAGCGCGACACGAGAGCAGGAAACCACTAGTGAGCACGATGCCGACGAAGAGGCAGCCAATTTCCTCTTCGAATGAGACTCGCAATTTTTTCTACTGCACCCTGCTCTCTCGCGCCAGCATGCGGCCCTCCAGGTGTGGCAGCAGCAGTATGGTTGTCACGGAGTCTGCGCTGATATGGCCTGCTACGGTCAGACACAGGCGCCTCAGCCAGCGGACGAGAGCAGGGCACCGCTAGCGAGCACGATGCAGACGAGGAGGCAGCTAATTTCCTCTTCGAATGAGAATTTTTTATTGCACCCTGCCCGAGCGCCAGCAAGCGGCATCCAGGGGCGACACCCTCACGAGTAATAGAGTGCACAGTACCGCGGCCCGCCCATGCACGCCCCCGCGTCGATGCGCGTGGGCGCTCGCCCCGAGCCTGCGTGACGGGACAAGACAAGGATCGTGTGCGGTCCTGCGACAGCTCGCCTGACATGATGTACACGTTTCCCCAACGGCAATGGGCTCATTCGTCGTGTAAAAAAGCTCCTCCCCCTCCTCCTCCTGCTCCTCCTCCTCCTTCTCCTCCTCCTCCCGCTCCTCCTCCTCCTCCTCCTCCTCCTCCTCCTCCTCCTCCTCCTCCTCCTCCCAATCGGATTCCATTATCGGGGGCGGATTCCAGCAGAACCCTTTTTTTTAAAAAAAATATATATTTAAAAAAAAAAAAAAAAAAAAAAAACTGAGGAGACCTTTCCCCCCCCCCCTCGCCCCCGAATCTCGCCTCAGGATTGTTTTTTTTGTTGTTGTTTTTTTGGGGGGGGTTTTCCAAGGGTTTTGCTTGATTCTGCTCCGTAAAGGGTATTCTGATTGGGAGGGGGAGGAGGAGGAGGAGGAGGAGGAGGACGAGGAGGACGAGGAGGAGGAGGAGGAGGAAGACTGAGAGAGAGAAAGGGAGAGAGAGAGAAAGAAGAGAGAGACAGAGACAGAGAGAGAGGGATAACGGAGGAGCGAAACGGAGTCGGAATGAGAGCGGTTCCTTTTCGAAGCCTTTGAAGGCCGAAAGGCCGCCATACCCATCCAGTCTGGAGCTCCATTTTGGCACAGCCCTCACACGGTTCGTGGCCCCACTGGAATCCACACCGAAGGTCCCAGTGGCAGGGCTTATGTTGTTGTTTTTTTCTGTCGTCCGGTAGGTGTCGTGGCGTGTCGTTGTTGTTTTTTTCGAAGAGGTTCACTGAAGACCCTCGTTCTTTTTATGTATTTTCCTCGACGTGGGTTTCTGCGAGTCACGTCGCCGCTTCCCGGTCACACTCGGCAGGTGTGCGGGAATTCGATGCCTTTCGCTGGTCTCTCTGAGCTGATGGGTTAGATAAGACGAAAGCGGAATGATCCAGTTCTGAGGAAAATCCAGAAGGCTTCGCGCGGCGCGTAATAGCAGTATGATCTAGTCCACGTGTCAGTTCCGGAAGCTGTGGGTCGACGCTCGTGCGGCGATGCTCCAGAGTCAGTCCGACGCAAACCCGACGTAAATCCGACGTCGTCCGACGTGAACCCGACGTAAATCCCACGTGGATCCGACGAAAATCGGGTCTCGAGTTGCCGCACGAGGCCTCCAGGATTTCTTCATAACCCCATGGAGTAGATCTTGGCTGTTTGGGGCGCCTTTCTCAAGCAGGTGGAGTCTCCCCCACAGGGCGCACTGCTGCGAACAGTCACAGCACGCAGAGGTCTGCCTCCCCCCCTTCCCCCCCCCTTCCGCCTACTGTAATGTCGAAACGCCGAACATGAGAAATTCCCACAGGTAGCTCGCAAATGCAAGCCGTGCAAGACAAGACAAACGCAAACGAACTGGGCAAGTCCACCCGGTGCCGCGCGAAGCAGAATGAGGACAGGCCAGGGCCCCCCCCAAACCAACGGAGTCCTCCAGAAGGTTCCGAAAGCAACTGGCTGGAGATTGCGGAGGGGCAGGAAAGGGGGAACGATTCGGACGCGAAGGAAGGTGCAAGAACCAAGGCTGCCGTTGCACCGGTCGAGAAGGAGGGCACAGCCAAAGGAGAAAGACACAACCAAGCTGAAAGAAAAAACACGCGACTCACCCGTCTGTTATGCTTCGTGCCAGGCCGCGCGCGGCAAGTAGAGCTGCAATTTGGCAAGACAAAGAAAATCAACCGCTGCATCGTCGGTGGCAGGGGGCGGTGCGACAATCGCATCACGATAGCGCAGCGCGCGCCCAGGAGCGCCAGGGAAACCAGCGCTCTGGGCCCATGCAAACCCTCGACCTCTCGTGGCTGCATGAGCCTTGGGGCACCCCACGTAGTGCCAGAGGCACGGCGGCGAACTTAGGTTTGGCGCGAACGTGCAGGAGGAGGCGGAGGAGGAGGCGGAGGAGAAGGAGGAGGAGGAGGCGGAGGAGGAGGAGGAGGAGAGGAGGAGTGGAAGTGGAAGAGGAAGAGGAAGAGGAGAGGAAGAGGAGGAGGAGGAGGAGGAGGAGGAGGAGGAGAGAAGAGGAAGAGGTGGAGGAGGAGGAGGAGGAGGAGGAGGAGGAGGAGGTGGAGAGGAGGAGGAGGAGGAGGAGGAGGAGGCGGAGGAGGAGGAGGAGGAGGAGGCGGAGGAGGAGGAGGAGGAGGAGGCGGAGGAGGAGGAGGCGGAGGAGGAGGGAGGAGGAGGAGGGAGGAGGAGGAGGAGGCGGCGGAGGAGGAGGAGGATGTTGCCCTTCAGTCTCTGCTCCTCGCCGCGCGCGCGTGCGCGTGCCTGGCTCGCGGCACGCGCGCGGAGCTCGTGCCCTCCAGCCGTGCGGGCGCGTGGTTTTGAGCTCCTGCCTGGTCCGCACTCCCCTCCTCGGTCCCTTGGCATCGCTCGGACGTGTGCATTTTTTTCTTGGCGAGGACCATCGAGGAGCATCTTTGATCATTTAGCGACAAAAAACACGCACAACATCGAACAATGCACGGGGAATGGACGTCCGAGCGATGGCGAGGTACGGTGGGGGCGTCGGTTAAGGAATAGTCTCAAGTCGGGCCTGTCCCCCTACAGGGGGACCTTCGACGAAAAATAAAATATACCCCAAAAATACACCAAAAAGGTAAAGAAATACCCCAAAAATAGCCCCCAGACTGTTATTGGATTATGTTTTGATTATTTGGGGGGTATTTCCCCACATCCAAAGTGGGGTTCTTGTTTTCTCTGGACACCCCGCGCAGGAACAGGAACACACACACCCACTCACACTCACTCGCACTCTCTCATCATCAACCTCATCAGCATCATCGATGATGCTCTCTCACATGCTTAGTCACTCACATACTCATCATCATCATCACTCGCACTCTCTCACACGCTCACGATCATCATCATCATCATCATCATCATCGGCATCGGCATCATCCTCATTCAAACATCATCATCGCCACCACCACTCACAATCAATCATCATCCTCTTCACCACTCATCTTCACCACCACTCATCATCCTCATCCTCATCATCGTTGAGTAAATTGTGAGGAAGTCTCAGGCGGGAGCCCCCTCCCTATGGGGCCCGCAGATCATGTTGGTAATCCGAGCGGGTCATCGGAACCCTGTAACTGTCGTCACGTTTGGGCTCCCCAGGCCTGAAAATGGAGGAAGTCTCAGGCGGGAGCCTCGTCTGTGAGTGAATTGGGAGGAAGTCTCAGGCGGGAGCTCCCTCCCTATGGGGCCCGCAGATCATGTTGGTAATCCGAGCGGGTCATCGGAACCCTGTAACAGTCGTCACTTTTGGGCTCCTCAAGCTGAATTTGGAGGAAGTCTCAGGCGGGAGCCTCGTCTGTGAGTGAATTCTGAGGAAGGCTTAGGCGGGAGCCCCCTCCCTATGGGGCCCGCAGATCATGTTGGTAATCCGAGCGGGTCATCGGAACCCTGTAACTGTCGTCACTTTTGGGCTCGTCAAGCCTGAAAATGGAGGAAGTCTCAGGCGGGAGCCTCGTCTGTGAGTGAATTGGGAGGAAGTCTCAGGCGGGAGCTCCCTCCCTATGGGGCCCGCAGATCATGTTGGTAATCCGAGCGGGTCATCGGAACCCTGTAACTGTCGTCACTTTTGGGCTCCTCAAGCCTGAATATGGAGGAAGTCTCAGGCGGGAGCCTCGTCTGTGAGTGAACTGCGAGGAAGTCTCAGGCGGGAGCCCCCTCCCTATGGGGCCCGCAGATCATGTTGGTAATCCGAGCGGGTCATCCAAAACCTGTAACTGTCGTCAATTTTGGGTTCTCGCGCTGCCAGAACGCAGCTCCCAGGCCACATTTTGGACGCAACAAGGAGGAGATAAGCATGGTGGCAGCCGCGCTGTACAACGCGCTGGACCTTCGCGCCTGCCACGGACGCAGTGACACGCACGACGTGCAGGAGTCGAACTACCAGCGGCCACACCACCACTTCGGGCGCGTGCCCATCGTGTTGCACCTCGGCGATTTCCTGCAGCTGAAGCCCACCGGCAGCATTGGCCTCCTGACGGACGTGAACGAGCGCCTGGACGACGACGAGTCGTACAGGTACGCGGACCCGCCGACGGTGGAGATCCAGCACGCCATCAAGGTCTTCTCTCAGATCCCCTGCGTCTTCGAGCTGAAGGGCACGAAGCGCTTCGAGCCCGGGGACCCTCTGATCACGTTCCTGGGCTGCACGCGCGAGGGCAAGCCCTTCCCACCTGAGGTCTGGTCCGCCTGGGAGAAGACGCTGGCCACGGACAACCAGGGCGTCTTGGACCCTCGGCACCAGCACGAGAACTTTCGGCTCGGCTACGGCATCGGCATATACTGGGAGACGCTGGCGAGGTGGATCAACACGCGCGCTCGTCGCGACGCTCGGCGTCTGGGCGTGCCCCTTGTTTTCCTGCAGGCCGTTGACGAGTGCGGCGCGATTCAGGGCGAGCCCGACGCGGGTCGGCGCCTCCAGAACGTCCCGAACATGCACAAGACGGGGGACATCCACGGCGTTTTGCCGGCCCACGTCGGCATGGAGGTGCGGTTCACGGCAGCGCAGGAGGAGCTGAAGAAGAAGTCGGGGCTCGCGCAGGAGCAGCGGGCCACCATCGTGTCCTTCGAGTTCCACCACGAGGACGAGCAGCGCTACGAGGAGTGCTCGGCAGGCCAGCTCTTTCGCCCCCGCTTCCTACCGCAGGGAATCTGGCTGCAGGTGCACGGCTTCAAGGAGTCCCGATCTACCAGGAGGTCGCCGAGGTGCTGCGACAGGGCGCCGAAGGCGCCGACGACGACGGCCAGGCCGAGGCGCGGGCGCGGAGCTTGCTGATGTTCAGGCCTAGCGAAAGGGAGTTCACATGGCAGAGCTCGGGGGCGCACAGCGTGCGCCGCTCGGGGTTCACCCTGACGCACGCGTCCTACCTGACCTCCACGCTGTCGCAGGGCCAGACGCTGCGCAAGGGCGTCACCATCGACTGCGCGAGAGACGAGGACGCTGGCCGCACGGGCATGTCGGACGAGCAGTGGTGGCTGCACCTCTACGTCATGTTCTCCCGCGCCACGTGCATGCGGAACATGCTGATCCTGCGGCCGCCGCCGCGAGAGTTCCTGGAGTGCGGGCCGCCGGCGTCCCTGCGGAAGGCGCTCCTGGAGTTCGACAAGAGAGCGGTTTTGTCCAGGGCGGAGGCGAAGCAGCTCGCGGCAGAGCTGGGCTTCGTGCTGCCTTCCGCCTGAGCGCGGCTGCGCCTCGCTCGAAGCCCGCGGGGTTGTCCCAACGGCTTGGTCTTGCGCGCCAGCGGCTCGCGGGGTTGCCCCGACAGCCTGGCCCGCGGGGTTGTCCCAACGGCTGCGCGACGTGACCAGTAGAGAACGCGCCTGCGCTGGCCGTGGCGGCGACGGCGCCGAGGAACATCGACATGCGCGCTCATGCAACAGGAAGGGGAGGAGGTGGCGGGGCGCGGAACAAACAGGGGGGCGAGGATGGGGACAACGTAAGGAGTGGAAGGGGGGCCCGCGCCAAGGCGAGAGGAAATATACGCAGAAGAGACAGCCAGGACGCCTCACCAACCACGAGGACGACGGTGATGGCTTTTTCCAGATTCGCCCAGAGGATTCTCATGTGGGGTTCTTCCGTCGGAGTATTTTTTAAAAAATGTTTCGTCGAAAATCCCCCTGTAGGGGGACAGGCCCGACTTAAGAATAGTCCCAGGATGCGCCGGGCCCTGGAGGACTCCTTATCCCATGAGGGCGGCATTGATATCCTTGGCCGATCCACGATTGGAGTTCCACTGGCTTCCAGACCCTGGATTCCTGATCCAATGGTTCCTTATCGAATGCCCACGCCGTATCGTTTAACCAATCCCCATCCCCACCCCCTTCGAGACCCCACCAAGTTACCCCCCCAGTTGGGGATACACCACTCGAAACCCGAAGGGGGCGACTTATATCCCCGTCTAGGGGGATAAATCGGCCAGTGGGGCCCAGGCCACGCCGCTGGGGATGGGGATCGGTTAAAAGCTACTCACCTCCTTGAGCTCTCGTGAGATATCCGCCACAGCATTCGGTAGCAAATCATGGGGGCCTTATGTACCCTCGACATTCCGTTGCTAGCGTCGACTCGCGTCGATTAGCGTAGCGCCGATCTATCGTGGGCTAGCGTCGATTCAGCATCGACAAGCGTCGATTTAGTGTCGACTAGCGTCGATTCGCAAGAGTCGACAAGATGGTTTGGGAGGCTCCCATGAGTTGCCGCACAAGCCGCACCCGCGGCACGATTGGGCGTGTTCGACCGTTTCGGTGTTTCGCCGGGGGTCCTCGCAGATGGCTGCCGGCGAACACGCCTCCCTGTCGTACGCTGCCTCCTCGGAGGGCCTTTTTCTTTGGTCGATGGTATTGCGTTCCCTCGGCAGCTTCCCGGTCACTTCTGTGCTGCCCACCTCCGCCGGCTCCCGCGAGCGACTCGCTGCCTACTTCCACCAAGACAGTGGTGCAGCTCGAGTTAGAGCGTGGGGGCGCGCGGTGAAGGCTTGGGCCGGAAGCTGAAGACATTCTGGCTGCATTTGGTGATTATTTCCTATACGCTTCACCCCTGCTCACGCACCGTCTGGTGCAAGGCGTACTTGACTTGACTTGACCACCTCCGCAGACAGAGAGAGAGAGAGAGAGCCCCCGCTGCGAGGGGGGGGCACGCCGGCTGTGCGCCAGCGCTGCAGCGCGGGCCCTCCTCCCGACGGGACGGCCCGACAAAGGAGGGTAGGCCAGGCAAGGACCGCAGCGAACGAAAGCGCGGCCCGGGCGGTTCTGCGCCCACGCGCGGGCGCGACGGGCGGCGCAGCCTCCCGCTGCCGCCCGCTCCTCTCGGAGAAGCGACGTCCGGGCCGCCCGGATGGGGCTGGAGCAGACGG